ATAAAATAAAATAAAATAAAATAAAATAAAATAAAATAAAATATTACCCGGCTGACAACCACTTCTGCTTTTTTAATTCACATCTATCTGATGATTCTCATTGTAGATTATGCTGTGAATTGTGCATATAAAGATTAGTGTCTATCTAATGAGAGAAAGGACACACATTTCAGATTGGAATGAATTGGTGAGGGAGATTGGAATAGGTAATTAGCAACACCCTTACAGTTAAATTAATTCATTTGCTGTTTAATCATCTATGTCAATGCAATATGATAGACAGACAGAACCCAAATACAGCACTGCAATCTGTGTGTGTGTGTGTCTGTGTGTTTGCAAGGCCCAGATGAATCACTTTCAGCCCAGCACATCTGTGTTTGAGGTCTGAGGACAAAACGGATCACTAAATTAAAAAGCATTAACTTCTGAGGTGTGTGTGTGTGTGTGTGTGTGTGTGTTGGAGGGGGGGGGGGTTGTATTCCTAAAATGATTTCTACCACTGTAATAATTAAGATTATTTCCACTGCTATCATGCATAAAATCATATTGTATTCCAGGAGAATATGCTACCATTAAGTAAAAAGGCTTTAGGGACAAATCTGTTAAGCGCTGTCGTGCTGTCTCTTTGCAGAGCAGTCTGACAGAGCGGAAGCTCTGGTATTGTGGGTTTGATGTCTTTGCCAGATTGGATTTAATCCGGATTAGACCTCTCTCTCCCTCTCGCGTTCGCTCGCTCTCCCCTAACACACACACACACACACACACACACATGCACAAACATCTTTGTCGATTGGCTCTGTCATATACTACATCTCTGTCTTTCTTGTTTTGTGTCCAATTTCCTGGTGCATTGGAAAGAAGGCAGGTCACTGTAAGGTGACATTGAGAATTTAGTGAAAGATTCTGTGTTTGATCTTTTTTTTAGGTTTGACAGATGCAAAAAAAAAATAATACGCAAATGCAAACGCAAAAGGGATATTTCACCCCCAAAAAAAGAAAACTGTCATCATTAACTCACCCTTGTGTTGCTTTGAACCTGTATGACTTTTTGTCGAACACAAAAGAAGAGATTTTGACAAATGGTTTGACTGTTTTACAGCTGACTTTCCTTCTTCTTCACAGCACAAAAGAAGATATTTTGAATTATTTCTTAGTAGTTTTTTTGTTAAAAAATATTTTTGGACGCCATTGACTTTCATTGTATGGCCAAAAAAATACTAAGAAATTCTTTAAAATATCTTCTTTTGAGTTCTGCAGAAAAAAGTTAATCATACAGGTTTGGAAAAACATAAGGATGAGTAAATTATGACAGAATTTTCATTTTTGTGTGAACTAAACCTAAAATTTGCATTTATTTTTAAAAATGCAACATTTTACCTGTTTTATTTTTATATAAAAAAATGGGAGTGTTGCATAAAAAGTGTATGTATTTGTATAAGAAAAAAAATCTTGAGGCTAAGAAAATCTAAGAAAAAAAATAAATGTGAAGACATTAAATGAATACAATGTTCTTACATGGCTTTTTTGGTGGCAGAGCCAGTTGAGGGTTCAAATAGGGGCTGTTTTCTGCATCTATCCGGCGTTTGTACTTCTGTCTTCCACCACGCACACGGTCCAGTCGAACACCTGATGAAAAAGAGGACACAAGAAAAGACAACAACATTTACTTATCACACATCATTCTAGCACGAACACAACCTCTTCAGTAAAGCAGTCAGATAACCTGCACTGTCACTTTAAAAGCACTGTGAGGGGAGTAGGCTGCTGTGAGCCCGCCATAAACGGCACGGCAGCTGTCAGTGGCCATTTCAGGGATGTGGACAGGAGATGACCAGCTGCTGACAGACAGGGGCACAGTCGCTCTCTCCATGTGACATCCAGACACGCACCTGCCCATCTCCTGCTTGTAGCGTGTGTGCATCTTTAGAGCACTCAGCTCACGGAAAAATAACAGGTAAACAACAGAGAGACATTTGTGTTGCGTTAACACGCATCCTCAAAAGTGTTGGTGACAACAATTACAGGAGACGTTTATTCTCAAGAGTGCAGAGGCGTTCAAGTACTCAAGTACTTGTGTGAAGCACATCACTGTGTCTTTAAAGGCGTCCCATTCTCCTTCATCATTCAAAGCTCCCATCGATATTTTCCCCCCACAATGAGCACAAATAAAGTGTGATGGGTGAGTAATTTATTGAGGCGCGACAGTTGTGAAAACATTCTGAAACCATCCATCACGACCCGCGATTCTGATGAGTGCAGAGCCTTAAAGACCTGTCCCTGCTTTTAATTAATTGACATACAAAAGAGCCTTAATTTAATTATGCAAACCTCTCCAGGGGGTGGGCAGTTTCCGTGGAAACCACTTAAAGGTGGCTCAGGACCCGTTTCATGCTGCATGCTGGAGAGGAACGGAATGGACATGAAGGCCCAGTGGGCCGGCCCTCGTTTCACAATTAAAACACTGGAATTCTCGTTTAACTGAATGGTGCTCAATCGCCACCTCCACTGGGCTTTCAGGGCCTGACACTCTCTGAATAATTTAACAATGAGATGCACCTTCCTCATATTGAAGAGCACTGATTGAAAATTTGAAGTGCTGCTTATGGGTTTTACCTGATTATATTTTAACTAAATGTGAATCTATTCATGTCATTGGAAATGGTGACAAATATGTATATGACAATATATACATAAAAAATAAATAAAACACAAGGGTTTTCTCCCCAATATTTAGATCAGTAGTCAATCAAAATGGGATTTTCAATGGGCAATTAAAATTTAACTTTGGTCCCCCAAACCCAATATTAGCCTACATTATTAATAATATAATATAATATAATATAATATAATATAATATAATATAATATAATATAATATAATATAATATAACCTTTATGTAAATTAAACTAAACAAAAAAATAAATAAATTGAAAAATAAAATAAAATAAACAGAATAATGTTACGCATAATCATATATCTTACATCCTGTATCTTTTTTTTAATATTACTCTTGACAAGTATAGATCTGGAATGTGTACAATAAGTGGAGATAAAATATAACCATGACATGAACTTGAAATCACACTGTGCAGATTTTCATTCATAATGTTCACACACTTCACGTTCATAATGTTCACAGTCAAATAGGCTTCACTGACCAACTAGTCTGTTATGCTCATTAAAAATACTGCTTTATTCCATTATTATTGATGCCTTTCTAAATAAGCTATCCATTCCTACTAAATAGTAACCATAGTCGTAATATTTCCTCCTATAGATCAGTATTTCACTATGACTGCACAACATGCAGGCGTATTTTGGGACGGAGTAATAATGAGTGTTAATTAACTTTGACCCTGGCTGGTTGTTGATTATGTGACATTGTACTCCAGGACAAAAGCAGATCCGTGACCCTGTTTGCTCACATTTCCATGAAGGAACACACGTCCCACAGGCTTCGTTTTACATGAGAACGGTGGTCTTTAAAAGATGTCACATTGCTAGCATAACCTCCTTGATGCCAGCACCCAAAATATGCAACTACACACGATGCTCACATGTTGACAGCCTCTCATCTTAACAAGACCAACCCCCCCACCAGAAACCGGATCCTGCTCCTGCCCGGGTGCCTGGACTGCAGGGTTTATTGGGCTAATTCACTGCTACAGACACGCTTGTAATAGCATCACCTGCAGTCCGTGCGGCATCTTACATCTTTGACATCCAGGTTAATGTGGGTCAGATATATAGCTCTTTTATTAGCCTGATTGGTTGATTTTTCCTGAATCTAGAACAAATACTGCAAATGACATCAAACTGATGCGCAACTGTGTATAACGTTTTGAGTCCGAGCTGCATCTCCATAGGCCTGCAATGCGCTGGAAATAGATGAGGAATTAATGCAGCACAACCCTGAAAGACACCCTCTACGGTGGGATATTATTAGGAAAGCCTCCCTCACTGCTGAAGGAGGATCGTTCAAGGATTTACACGCTCCAAAACAAACAACATTGGAATAAGTTACCCTTTGTTACTGATTTGCAGCCAGCTTTGTGGCTTCTCTTATATGGTTAAGATTAAGATGCGGCTACGGGATGCCGACCCAGGGGCGATCGTTACCCTCCACAAATGGTGAATGTGGCTTCACACCATCAGGATACATCTGTCTGCTGATAGACCTTCTATCGCCACATGACTGTAAAGCAAGCAGGCGCCTGGCTGCACATGGTGTGCCGCTGGGTCGGGTTTCACACAGACGTAGATACAAAGAGCTGCCGATTGTTTGTTTGATGGCGTATCTATGGGCCCGCGCGGAATGATCTTGATGAATAACATTGCTTCATGGGACGCACACGCCAAAAACCACTTTGATGTTATACTCTCAAAACAGACCAAATATATCTTACCATACAGTTTATGTGAATACAATTAGTTTCCTTAAAAAGGAGGACAAAAAGAGTTATTTTAAAGGGACAGTCCAACCAAAAAAATTTAATTCTGGCACAATTTACTCTCCCTTCTGAAATCTGTATCTGACTTTTTTCTTTTGTGGAACACAAAAGGAGATATTTATAGTAGATTGTCCAAGCTGCTCTTTTCCATACAATGAAAGCGGATGATGACTACAGCATCAAGGCAGGATTTAAAAATTTTTTTTTTTTTTTTCCTCACATAAAGCTATCAGATGTCTTAGGAAGTCTATATCAAAGGAATATAGCTTTTAGAGGCTTTTTTGTTCTTTTTGGCAGTTGACTGCCCCAGTCCCCATCCACTCTCACTGTACTAAAAAGATTAGTATGAACCTTCTCAAAAATGTTTTCTTTTGTGTTCCACTGAAAAATAAAGTAATACAGGTATGGAAGGTATGACAGTGAGAAAATAATGACAGAATTTTAACTCAAATTGTTAGGTGAACTGTCCCTTTTAATAATAGGTACCTTTAAATGATGCAAAATAATGCATTTGGCTATATTTTCACTTCACTTTTCTCTTTTTTAAAATGTTCCTCTGCTATTAACAGCTCAAAGCTCACAAATAATATTATTTATATGTTCTGAAATGTACCTTCTTATTTGCTTCATTCATTAGCACTAAGTAGGACAAGAAATGTTGTTAAAACATTTCACAGCAAATGCCTCACATTTCATGCAGGCTGACATAACAAGAGGAATTGTGAAAAAAAAAGAAGGGAGAATTCATTTCACACTGTTGTAAATCCCCAGTAGATTACAAGATTTTACTCTTTTAATTAAGATGACAAATAGACTAGTTGCTTCATGGTGGAATCCCTTTTCCCTTGTTTTAAATGATCCTACTACCCTCTCCACACCTCCCCCCACGTTTTTATTAGGACCCACAGATGACCGTAAACTTCTTACAAGGCTTGTTTTGAATTTCATAGGTGCCGTGGAATCCTGCAAGGCGTCTGCAGAAATTTACGGGGAAGTGTGAGAGAAACAATCAACCTGGCAGCAATGTGTGCCACTTTAAAAAAAGACTAATTAATCAGACGTGGCCAGAGAATTCTGATGTCTCGAACTTACATCACTATATTACACCTATTCTTGTTTAGTAGTCAACGACATGCGTGCAGACACACTAAAGAGGCGAGGAGACTGTTGTTTTGGCCAAGGCTGATGGGGCACTGGAGAGTAAATACAGCAGCCAAATTTCTCACAGCTGACACGCATAAACACTACACCGCTTCCACTCAACAAAGGCTTAAGTGTTCACAGGAACGTCAAACGTGTGCTGATAGTTCAGTTTCTTTTTATAGGTGCTATGCATCACAAGAGTATAGCTTTCTCTCTGATGAATATATATAGGATCAAGCACTTAACCAGCTAACTCTGGCTACCAGAATAGATCTTCAATCAACAGCATGTCTAGAAGGAAAATGAGACACTAACCAAACCAAACATTAGGAGGACAGAATGTTGATCTGATTTATTTACTACTACATTGTAGTGTAGTGCAATCACTCAATCCTCTACTTTTGTGTCATTATAGTGTTTGTTTAAGAATACTGGCAGGAAACTGTGATATATTAAATTATGAATTACTGATATCCATCAATAGCAGCATTAGTGCTCATCAGGGTACAAAATTGAATCCACACATGACAATGGCAAACAAATTGAGGAAATTACGGGCTATAAATATCCCTTACTTGCCATGAAACTGTATTCTGTATTTATGATTATTATTATTATTTTCAGAGTTTAAACTTTTAGTATAGTTTTTGCATATTGTGCCAAACAGTGTGGATCAAGTTAGTTGATCGATCAATCAATCAATCAAGTAAGTTTTGGCTACTTAATACAATTAATATTGTGTTAATTCAATGAACATACTGTATGTCTTTACAAATTAAGAAAAAATAAAGACAAAAGATAAAAGATAAACTTCTTAAGTAAAAGTCGATGCTAGATGTGGAAGTTGCAACAGATATTTTCTAAAGCTGTCACTTACATCTGCAAAAAATCATTCTTACAACTTAATTTACACCATGTGCTAAGTTTGAGGTACCATCCACTGGTAACTGCATACTATTTACTTGCCAAAGACAATTTGTACTCACATTTGGCTCTTGATGGGTGTTAATTTTGGACCCTAGCGCTCTTCCT